CGTTCACATATTCAAGAAAAAGTATCACGAATTGAACTTGCTTCATGCCATTGTACGATTTCTAAATAAGATAAAAAACAAAACTTGAAATCAATAAATATTATGATTATTACAAATTTCACTTACCACCCTCACTTAAATTTGTATTTGCTGTTAGAACTTCTATTTCTAAACAGAAAAAGAACAAAAGATGAAAGTACATAATTATCTAATAGACGAACGTTTTGGAGTCAATACTGTTGGATCAATTTTTGATTTGTGACCACCCATGCTAGCTAATGTTTGTATTCGACGGTGAAAACGAAAATCTAAAAATGAAATATTATATACTATTTCGACTCTCCTTTTATAGTAACTCTCATGGTAATAAACATTAATTATCATTTATTGATAAATGTATAGTGATAAGATATATAAAAAACCAGGTTGGAGCAAATATGTTTTTTATGTTTATAACGAGAAGGACACAGAGCGAAATAGAAAATGTAACATTAATACTGTACATATGTTTACTAATCGTAGCATTGAATAAAACATTTCACTTTGCATCTTATGTGTTAGAAATGACTTGAAATATGAGACTTTTGCTAATTTTTAAAAAAATTTCGAACTAAAATGAGGAAATTAGGTGTCGAAGAAAAATTAATATTTGCTTTGATTCCTCTTAATCTAAAAATAGCATGAATTATATAACGAAAAAAAGACAAAAATCTTCCTTTATTTTTTTTCCTATTTACCTTTACTTTTAAATGAATATCAAACGCAAAACCGTGGGTTTTTGTATGTATTTATTTTTACCATTTTCATTTGAATGATAATCAGTTTTTTTCATAAATATTACAAAAAAATATCGAATTACATATTTGCACTTTTCCCTTCATATATTTATTTTATCATCGGTCATACTCAATGCACAGCGCACTATATTACATTTTTTTTTATTGGAAAAATATTTCACCTGTACAATCAAATATATACTTTTAGATATGAAAGTCCTTGATTTTTGTAAAACTAATAAACTGAAATATGAATTGTCAATAAACAAATTCGCATGTAAAGATATTATCGAACCATTAAATCTAATCGTACTTATTTTTTTTCGTGTGCACGTCTCAAAATGTGTCCATAGAGAACCACTTTGAATTAAAGCAACTCATATATACTGACCTTATAAAAATCATACAAATAAGGATACTTGACACGATCAACTAGAACAAAAGACTCTATGTTGTAAATATCCGATTACTTTTAGCAGTAAACCAACCGCTTACAGTAACTGTTCAGTTGCACACACAGAAATAGAAAAATCTTTCATCAGATGTAAAGAGTACCAATTTATCTTTTTTCACAGATTAAAAATATCTGATAGTCTAGTTCACCTTATAAGTTATATTTTTACTAACTCAACTAGACAAACGAAGACAAAAAAAAAATTATGGAAACAGATCTCACCACAACGCTATTATTATTAGAGATCTTTTTTCATACAGTTCTTGAATGATTGGTAGGACAATCAAAATTTGGTAGCCAAGATGATATAAAGTTAGTAGATATTTGCATTCTTTGTATTAATGATTCAGTTGGATACCGCAAGTCGAAATTTTCTGCTTCACAGTCAATTGTAAAGAAAATGTAAAAATTGAAAACACTTATGGAAAAATCGAATTTCTTCAAGCTCGGTATCAAGCACAAATGACCAGCTTTATCTCAAAAAAAGCCAGCAAATCGCTGGTATTATGACGGTTTTCATCACATGGAAATATTCTTTGTTATGCAGGATGCCTGAATCTAATTTCTCAGGTAGGTTCCCTTTGGTCTGTCTATTGGATATTGGTATGTACTCCATAGAAAGACCCACACCGATTTATGTATTCTTTCGGACAATCGATTAAAGTTTTAAGTAAAAGAACAATACACACATCAAGTAAAGATATAATTAATATTATTTATCATGTATCTCGTTCAAGTAACCAGTACAAATATTGTGACAAACAATAGTTTAATAGTTTGTTATGTTTGTTTGAATATGTATGGAATAGATTAAACATAATTTCAATTTTAAGAATGCTTCTCTAGTATATTTCATTTAAATGATAAAATCTATTAATGTTATAAATTAATATCTGCTACTATATCTCAAGATGAATCCATTATTGTTGCATCATTGCTTGTATAACTCAAGAGAAGAATCACGCGATTATCGAGTATATGATGTATTCGATAAAAAAGTTTCGTTTTTTCTTGGATATCGACATTTTACTAGTATTACTTCGTGATAAGAAAAAATATTAAACAATACTCGATAACAGTTCTGCATTTTATCCTGCCAACAAATCATTCAAGTTTTCGATTCTAAATTAATCTAAAAGATAGCGACTTGAAGACAGAGCGGAATAAACTGATTCAATATAGTTCAGTATTGACCTGCTCAAGTTCCATAACGTCAACATTAATGAAAAACGACTCTTCTGATCATTTTAAGATGTCCATTCGATAACACTTAATCTTCTGTCGAAGTTTAAAATCAAAGAGTTCCAAGTTGAATTTCATATATGTTATGCAACTATTATTTCGCACAGAATGGTAGAAAACTATTCCGAAATGATACTTTCGGAACGTAACAAAGTTCACAATTCTCTCACTCTTAAATAATGAATCTTGATGATATGGCAATAGGAAAGAAAAAACATGTTTAGCAGTTTTCATTGATATGACACAACTGCGAAGCAAAGCAAATACAATATTCGGAGTCACTGTCAAAGGCTGCATTGAATCAAACAGATTTTAGAGAACTTTTTACTGTCGGAAATTCAACTACGATCCATCAAAGCTGCATTTTATTAAAATTTTTCCCCGTGCTCCTCTATGTGTCAGCTTTCCACAATGAAAAACTTCTCTAAAAGGTGTTTGAGTCAATTCTGCTTTTGACACTGATTCTGAATATCTTTTTTTTTGCTTTTCAGCTGTGTCATGGCGATGAGAACTACTAAAAGGTGTTTTTTCCTGTTGCAAAATCATCTAAACTCATCATCTTAGAGAGAGATGTGAACTCCGTTTGACTTCGAAGGAACTATTTTTGTACAAAATAAAGCATTGCGTAACATATATAAAGTTCAACTTGGAACTCTTTGGTTCTACACTCCGATAGCAGATAGGGTTGTCAAATGGATATTTTACACTCTTTAAAAGAGTCACTTTTCATTCATGTTGTCTTTATAAAACTTGAGTCAGCTAATAATGTTTTATATTGAAATAGTTCATTATCTACTTCTATATCTTTAATAATAGCTTATAAAAAAATTTCAATGATTTCTTGAAATGAAAAGAAGCAAAATTTTGACAAGATATTTTTTGCTGTCTATTCTCATAAGGATATAATACTAGTAAAAAAGTTAATATCCAAAAAAATCAAGAAATTCTTTTATCAAATACTCGTACACTCGATAGTTTGATGATTCTTTTCTGAAATTATACAATCAATGATATGTAAGAATGACGAATTCATCCTGCGATATAATAAAAGATATTAATCGATATCTGTAATAGATTTTATCATTTAAATGAAATAATTTAAAGAAACTATTCTTTAAATTGAAATAGTTGTTCATCAATGAAGTATATATTCGAATAGCAAAGCAAACTATCAAACAGTAGTTTGTTACAATGATTTTTCGTATTGTTACATTGTATTTTTTGATTTGAAAAATAGATAAATGTTCCAATGTAATTTTGTTGCAAGAGTAAGACCGGCATACTGAAACGATAGAACTGTTTTTGTAGTACTCATTGATTAGAAAAAAGATGAATTGTTGTTATAACATTTTGCAATATTAATTTGTTAAACCCTTTCCATTGAAACATCAACAAAAAAAAGACAAAATTCCGTAACTGGCGATCTTTCAAATCTTTTATTTAATGAAATTAAGGTCGTTTCAGAAATGACCTAATATTTTAATAGCTTGTTAAAAATTAAACAACTTTTGCATATAATATTTATTTGTCTGTTGCTTTGTTTCTTATGAAAAATCCTCAACTCTTAGCTACCCCGAAAAAAAATATTCGTTTCTTTAAAATTTCATAACGGTGAGTATCGATTGAACTGCTCTGCTATGGCTAAAGAGAAATTGATTAAATTTTTTTAGTGGTAATAGATCTAAACAATTTTCGCTTGTAATAAAAATTCAGACAGTTTGCTTTTATTAATGAAAGTTTACAAATCTTGCAATGTGAAAGAATAGCATTCCGTAACACGTGGTCACGGCTTATTATTTTTTGCTTTACCTAAAACCTTAATCGATTTGTGCGAAAGAATACACAAATTGATATGAGTGTTCTCATAAAACACACCTCTATATCTATTAGGTAGGCCTGAAATGAGTCTACATCAATAATTAGATTTAGACATGCTCCATGGTAAAGAACATTGTCGTGTAATGAAAGAAATTCAATTTTTCCAGAAATCTTTTCAATTTTCACACTTTCTTTACAATTGAACGTGCAGCAGAAAATGTCAAACTATCTTGATTACCAAGTTTTCATCGTGCTATATATCATCCGAGAACTATATGAAAAACGATCTCTAATAATACTAGTGTTGTGGTGAGATCTATTTCCATAAATTTTTTTTGTCTTCGTTTCTCTAATTGAGTTAGTAAAAAATATAACTTATAAGGTGAACTAAACTATTAGATATTTTTAATTTGTGAAAAAAGACAAAATAATACTCTTTATATCTGACGAAAGATTGTTCTATTTCTGTGTACAACTGAACAGTTACTGTAAACGATTAACCGCTAGTTTCTTAAACTGTCGCAGTTTGCAATGAAATCTTCGATTAACTACGAACTACCACTAGAACTAATGTAATATTTACAACATGGATTCTTTTGTTCTAGTTGATCGTGACAAGTTTCCTTATTTGTATGATTAAAGTCAACGTATGAGTTGGTTTAATTCAAAGTGCTTGTCTATAGACTCATTTATAGACGTACACATGAAAAAAAAACAAGTTCGTCTTAAATTATTTGTTCGATGTTATCTTGACATCCGAGTTCATTTATCGATAATTCATATTTCAATTTATTAGTTTGACACAAAAATACAAGGGCTTTCAAGGTCGAAAAATATTTTTTTTGTTTGTACAGGTAAGATATTTTTCCAATAAATAAATGTGATATGCTGTGTTGTGCATCAAATATGACCTATAATGAAATAAATATATACAGCAAAAAGTGCATAATATGTAATCAGATATTTCTCTGTGATATCCATTAAAAACTTCATTATCATTCGTATGAAAATCGAAAAAAATAAATATATATAAAAACTCATTCCAGACAAGAAATTTTGAAGTCGGATCCTAAGGAAAGTTTTCGGATCCGAGGATTTCCGACAATAAGATCCAATAGTTCGAAAATTCTAGATACACTTAGAATCTAATAGGAATTCTATCGGATGATGTCGAATTTACGTCGAGATATTGTAGACTGCTTCACACATATACACCTCACATCATCACCATTGCTTCTGGTGTCTTCCTCTCGTACAATTACCTAAGGATAAACAGTTTTAATGTACTTTATTTTAACTTATTATTATATTCATTTGTTTAATTATAAACGTAAGAATATAAGACAAAAGTAAAATCAATAAGGTATACTCAACTTTGATTGTATTCATGCTGGATTATAATCTGAATTAAACGATACAATAAAAAACAAAAATTTTATATTCGTTGAATTCATTCTATCATTTATTCTTAAGTAAATATGACAAAAATAAATAAATAATATATACTCGCTTTTGATTGACTTCATCTCGTCATATAATCTAAAGTTTAAAAAAGTAAAATAAACAATTTATACTGATTGTTCGATGCTCGTTCACTTGTATAGCGTCTTTGTTACCGTAAACATTCGTTTATGAGCGTGAGCATTCTACCTAGACTAATGGAAAACGACGTTGTGTCGTCATAAAAAATATTATTAATCTTTGACTTATATTTAATTGAGCAATAAAAAATACAGAATGAGCAATAATCAAATTTAGCGATAAATATATAGAATGAGCAATATATATATAGAATGAGCAATATATATATTGAATAAGCAATATACATATTGAATGAGCAATAATTAGATAGAATGAGCAATAATTCCATGAAATGAGCAATAATTAATTAAAATGAAGCGTAAAATGTATATAAAAGGGCAATAATAACTCGTTTTTTTACAACAATAAACGTTTTCTTATCCTCATGAAATTTATATATAACTTTTATACATCACTCAAGCACAACTCATAGCACACTATTTTCTGATTCTTGGGTGTGGGTGTTAAACTACAATGAACCCACACCCACACCCACACCCAAGATCCGAGGTTTTCTATTGTGTCTAATCCCAAAAGTTTTCCAGAGGGTCTTGGGTAATGTCTCTTTTCTTTCTACAGATTGCAACTAAAAAAATTGTTCAGAAAGCCAAAGCGATTTTGATGCTTTGAGAAGGAATTTTTCGGATTTTAAAAGCCTAGATAAAAGGTTGAAAACACTTAGTTAAATTTTGTAGCTGAAAACTCTGAAAACTAAGCACATTGTGATGTAAATCCAGTGGTTGAAGTTGTCATTTTTCGAAAAATTTGATAATTGAATAAAGTCTTATACTAAGTCTCGCACGTATTTCTCCAAGGGGGTCTTCTATTATGGAAAGCCTTCTAATATAGGGACCTCCTATCGGAAGAGAAGTGTATGCTGTTTTGAGAAAAAAGAAAATAGTCGTTCGTATAGAGACTGGCGTGGCTACCGTGACTCACGGTCACGGTCACGATGGCAACGGTCGTGACCGTGACCGTAACCGTGACCAAACTGATCGTGACCGTGACCGTGACCAAAAAATGTTGATCACGCCGATGTCTACCCCACACCCAGACCCTCCCACACCCACACCCACACCCATTTTTCTTTTTTGTTTCTTGTAAATTATAAATAAAAATAATTCACTTCTATCTTTTTTTGTTGCTCAAATATGAAATTAATATTGTTATATAATAAATTATTTATTGCTCATTTAATGTCAAAATATTGCTCATTTAATATCATAATATTGCTCATTTTATATTATAATATTGCTCAAATAAACATTTTTTATTGCTCAAAAATTATTGCTAAATCATGTTTTTATTATTGCTCATTCTATATTTTTTATTGCTCAAATAAATACAAGCCTTAATCTTTTCTCATGTCGTCTAATCATCACAAACAGCAAAACTGGATACTATAATACTATCAGATTTCGTCAGGTCCGGCAAGTTCTAACAGTCAGATCTGATCAAATTCTATTGACGGAATCCGATGGTATTTGACAGTGGGAAAACGTTGAAAGCTAAAAGATGTTGACGGCTTCTGAAACTTGGATCCTATCCCATGCTGGCTGTCGAATATTGTCGATTATGGATTCTATCAAATCTGACTAGGTCACTTTAATCTGGGATAATTTTCTTTTGTTTTTATGTAAAATCAAGGGTAAATAGAAGGAAAATATAGCAAGATATTTGTCTTTTTTTCTCTATCGTATAATTTATGTTATATTCCGGCTTGAAGCAATCAAAATCAATACAATCTTTTTCGTCTTTTTAACATCTAATTTTCTTATTTGAGTTCAAAATTTTTGAAAATTATCAAATATCCTATATTTCAAGTCATTTCTGACACATAAGATGGGAAGTAGAATATTTTAATCGATGTTACGATTAATGAATCTATATACATGATTAATTTTGCATTTTCGATGGCGCTGTGCCATTTTCATTATAATCATAACAAACATATTTTTCTCTTACCCTGGTTTTGTTTTTTATGTTGTATTACCATACATTTATCGATGGATGATTATTAATGTTTATTATCTTAAGGTACACTAGAAAAGGAGAGTTGAAACAGCATATAAAATTTGTTTTTTTTTAATTTTCGTTTTCATCATCAAGGGGCAATCCATAACGGACATCCAGGCAAAAACTGCTTCTTTGAACTTCATCCCTATTCTGTCCAGTTTCATGGATCTCCTATCTCGTGCATAATATCTAGTATAAAAAAAAAACTTTCTAGAAAGAACCTGCTTGTTAAAATACAACACTTCCTTTTTATAAAATAAATATATCAAAAAATAGATATAAAAATATAATATATTGCAACGTTGTTGTGTTTTAAATATATCGTATCTTAATGAGCAGAATATCAAAAAATGAAATTCAGTACAAATGACATTTCAAAATCGTAAAATATAGGATGCGATGCAACCCAGTGTCACACCCACACTCATATGTCCTCCTGGAAGACCTTTGTGGATATTCCTCAATACAAAACATAAACTTCCATGGGCCAGGCACAACCAAGTCGTAATAATAAATCAAGAACACAGTTTCGTTCACGTATGTTAGTTTAATAATAATGTTTTCTCATTTTTTGTTTTCTTTTTTTTATTTGGAATCAACACCCATCGCAGGGAATACTAATACAAATGAGAAGGGTAAGTGGAAATTGTAATAATTATAATATCTATTGATTCATTTTGTTTTCCTTCATAATGCATTTCTTTGGAGTCTTGCAGCTACAAATGAAGGTGATATCGATGAACGACTTTCATATGCATTTGATTTGTGTTTCTGTTTTATTTTGTTCATGAAATTTTCATTTTATATAGGTACAATGTTTCGGATGATGAACAAATCGATCATGAGGAATTCACTAAAATGATTACAGCTATGGTAAATTTTTTTCATGATATTTTATTTAAGTAGAAATACTTTTATCTCTTTCTAGTATAAACTTAATGGTGTAGCTGTTGACGATGGTGATAATAATCCGATAACACGTGCTACTGAAATTATTGCTTCACTTGGTATTGATGAAGACAAAAAAATTGACTAAACAAGAATTTATTGATGGGTGTGCTTTGAAATAAAATTCTATGATTTTATTTGTCATGTATGTTTTTTTGTTTTTGATTAGATGCAAAAACGATCCGTTTATCCGTCCACTACTTACTCATGAAGCTTAAACAAGCAACTGCAATAGAACAATAATTTGTTTTTTTTTTGGTTTTTACATTTTATAAGTAGATGGCATATTAAGGCATATGCATTTTATAATGAAAACATTTTATGACAAAACCAATGAATAGAATACATTTAAATAAATTATTTCAGTCGATAACATGTTTTTTTTTTATTGATTAATCTATAAATCGTAACTGTGGTACGATATCAATAAAAACTTTCGAAATTTATCATTTGAACTATCATGAATAGATACTAAAGGAAAATAATAGACTTCATTATATAAGCGAAAACATTCGTTATTGAAGTGATTTTGCAAAAGTAAAATAACTGATACTCAGAGTAATGGATCTTCCTCGAGCTAATTGGTATAATTTACGTGTATGTCAACTTACGCTAAATAACCTGAAAAATCATCGCTAGCAACTCTACATCCACGAAAACATGACATCGATTTTCGCTTCATGTATTTTAGTTAAACAATATCAGAATTGAAGCAAAACTAAATCAAGAATGATTCTGAAATTTCGACTTCTCTTAGTAAATCGATGATATTTATGGCAAACGTATGCCTCCTTAATTGATCATAATGAATAGTTTTGTAAAGAAATATTAGAGCTATTATTAGAATGAAAAGACATTTCGAAATGCGTAACTATTGTGCGAATATAATAGTTATATTACTAATTTTTAGTGAGCATTTTCATGTTACATATTTTTGAGAAAAAGTGTTTAAAAAAATTCAATAAAAAGTCTAAATGATTTATAAATTTGTCGAAGTGATTTTTTTTTGTATAAATATTAGTAATCACAATGTCTCATGCATTGACCTGATTATCAATGTTTTTGGAAAAATATTTATCATTTTCTAACATTTTCCGACATTCGAATTTTCCTATTTTATGAATTAATTTTTGTTTGGCATTTTCATATTTACCTACATTTTATTGAATGATACCTTATAAGTTTTATATTGACGACATTTAATCTATTCAGCTTTGAAAAGCATATAGACACTCTTTTTTTTGCTACAAAACTATCAGAAGGATCAATCCCAATAATTTACATATCAATAGATAAATTGAAAACAGTAAACTTCATCAAATTAAAATGAGTCAAAAGAATACAACTATTATGAAAATATACATTTCGAAGTATTTTTTCTTTAGATGATAGCTCTAATTTTCGTCTAAAAATTATTTATATCCATCAGTTAACTACATATAGGTTTGCCATGGATATCATCAAATTACTAAGAGAGATCGAAATTATTCAATCACCTTTTAGTACATTATATAGACAATATCTTAAGCCGCAAAATCTCTATGTAAAAAATTTGAATTACGAATTAGATTAAAAATCAATTATAATGATACTATTATAATCTGATTAAAATCGAATTATAATAATGTCATTATAATCAATTTTATAATTGTAATATGTTCATTATATAGATACTTTTATTTATCTTTTTTTCTTTTTGTTATTATATTAAATGAAAATTGTAATTCTTTTATTAACATCAAAATGTTAAAAGGGAGATTAATTTGATTTTATTATGAATATAAGAAAAATGCGGAATAAATATATTAATACTGAGCAAAAAAAAAACAAAAAACTCGTAAAATTTAATTAACAAGCGAGATTCATGATGAAAATGAACGAATTTTGAGATAATAAAAGAAAGACATTGTTATCAAATATAAATGGAAAAATAAATAACATACAAACTTCTTCAAACAATCATTGGTACATCATTTTTCACTGAAAATAATGTTTCTTCATCAGCATTGTCTTCCGATTCACTTGGATTGGCATGAGTATTTCGAACAATTTTATGTCCATTAGTTTGATGAACCAATGGTGCATTATCATCATCTTGAGTTAATTGTTCATATGGTTGAGAATTAGTAAATATATGATATGATGAACGTGAACGACGTCGTCGTATATAGAAAATAACTATACCAAATAGCATAGAGAAAATTAAAACTAAATTTAAACAAACAAAAAAAAATCATAAATTAGATATTTATTTATTTTCTTATCTAAAAAAATTAGTCTACAAACCACAAATAATGGTAATAGTAAGAAAGAATACTGGACGATGAATAAATGCTTTTGATTGATTATAAAGTATTTTTATTACTGATGAGTTTTGTTTATTATCATAGAATTCTATACGATTTAATTTAAATTCAATATATGTTGATGATTGATTAGTTACAAAAATATTATATTTCGTTTCTGATTCATATCTATTAAATAGTTTAAAATAATTAAAAGAAAAAAAAAAACAATCTTTGTTTTTTATTATTAATATTTATTTTAACATACCCAATACGTTCAGCTGTTATATCATATATACCAGGTGATAATAAACGAAAGAAATCTCCATCACGATAGGTTGTTACATTATGTTGAATACCATGTACATGAATTATTACACCTGATAAAGGTGTTTTAGTTTTTGAATCAAATACAAAACCACGAATACCATAAACAACCTTAATATACAAAAAAATAATAAAACTCTAGAAAAAAAAAAAGTCCAATGTACGAATTGGAATATCTTATTAGAATTAACATTTATTAATACTAATGTTTTAAAAATTAGTATTAAAATTAACCTTAATGATTTAATATTATTGTCATTAGAATTTTTTTTTAATACTAAGCTGTTAGCATTATTCTCAATGCTAAAACATAGATTATCGATGACTAGATTTCGAATATTCTGAGCTTAGAGAAATGCTTGAAACCAAGCAGTTTTGTTTTGTTCTAGGGATAGTACTTTTGGATATTAAAAAAAAATTATTATTCTGTATTCGGAAACTTTCGGACATATACTCGTTAATAGCATATATATTAGAATTAAAAGTAATGCTACAAGTTTGATATTAATAAATTCTAATACAAATAATACGAAAACATTAAGATTAATTTTAATACTAAACGCCTAAACAATTCACATTATCTCAACAGTAATGCTAATTTAATACTTCTATTCAAAAACTTTATCTCTTGTAAATAGAGATATGCACGGAAAGAGAGAAGTTATCGAGAATGAAATCAGGACAAAATACTGCAGAGATAACTAAATTAATCAAAAAAAAGAACCTAAGTATTGCATGTATGATACGATTAAATTCTGAAATATTTTTCTCTAGGCTGAGACAAAAAAAAAATGATTAATTCGATATATTCGTACTCTATTCAAATATCTGAAAATAATTACCTGAGTAATAAAAGCTAATAAAGCTCCTTTATTATCATTCCAATAAGTTTGTAAATTATTTTCATCAGGATATTTATCACATCCTAATTCGATTGTTATTTCCATATCAGATGTAAATACATATGACCAATCTTGCATACCACCTTCAATAACATACCAAGAAGCACCATTTGTTATTCCATTATTAAATATTACACATGCATTACCTTCATACATTTTTCTATGAGCTTGTGAATATGCTTTAGCTAACATTTTAAATGTTGTATCATCTGGTGATTTACTTTCTGTATTTATTGAATTTTTTATTCGATTATTAAATGGATATTGTGCAACAAGTGCACCACCATGTAAATTTCCAGATAAAACAAATGGATATATAAGTGACCAATGTATAACTGCTTGAACTTCAGGTTGAAATTCATTTTGTTTTTTAGTAAATTTATCAAGATTATTATCATTATTATTATATTCTTTTTTTGGTATAGCTTCATCTTTTTTTGATGAATGTTCAAGTTCAATTTGAGGAAAATTATTATTTAAATCAATTCTATTTGCATTTAAACGACCATCTCCAACAACATGTTTTGTTTGTTTATATTCATATTCAAAACCATCAGGATTTATTGTTGGCATTATATGAATACGAACCTTAATATAATTATTTATTAAACAATAAATTTAAAAAGAAAACACATCTCAGCAAAAATAAAAAGGTAACCGTTTAGATTGCTATAACTTATATTAACTATTCTCGACTGATATTATTGTATTTGAATTGAGTACAAAAATTATGATGACTAATTTATCTTGCTAGTCTATCTCATTTTTTATGATAAGAGCTCAAACTATTTTTCATATAACGTTCGTCGTAGTAGATCTATTGGAAAAAACTATGCATATCTTTCATTTTATGTCTTAGAAGAGTTGTTGAAAAAAAATCTTCGTTTTCCATAGCAATAACAAAATAGGATAGTATTTTTGAATTTTTCATACCAAAAATAGGTTTATTCATGTACATACTATAATTGGTTTTCATGTTAAATTCAAATAATATAGTTTTACTGAAGAATAGCTGGTATAACTTATAGCGATCTTTGATTCACCAGAGAAATGACTATGTTTTTATATGTTTTCAAATTTTTATGTCTAATTCAATGAAATCTAATTTTTTTACTCGACCTTTTGATTAGTAGCACCCTATGTAGGAATCTACAAAATCGCTTTTTTTAGTCCCGGCCTCGATCTTTGACAATGGCTTTATTTCTAAAATCGAGCTACGATCTGTGTACTTTTATGAATACATAAAATTGACATAAATGATTTTGATTCGTTAACAATACGAGACTTCTTTCATATCCAGTGTTAAATACAGATCGAAAGAACTGAAACTAGTATTTTTTGAACAAGTCTCAGAATGAGTTTCTACAAGATTGAGTCTGAGTTTGTGTATTTATTTTTCATATTCAACAAGTATTAAAGTTCGTTCTCAAATATAGTCAAGTACAATAAAAAAAAACTAAAGAGTTCAAATTACAACTCGTAAACAGTAAAGACTTTTATAGAAATAGCAAATAAAAATATCTGATTTACAGATCTTTAATCATGTCAAAATAATAAACGTGAAAATATATTGCATAAAAAACTGACCGGGACCAGTGTCAAAAATTCTTAGCCCCGGTCCCACCGGGACCAGGATCACTTTGCAGTTCCTTAACCTTACGAAATAGAAACAGCTTAGCTTACATTATCAATAAGTTTTGTAATATAATCATTTTTTCTATAGTTTAGACATAAATATTCAATAAAACGTATTAAACATTCTCGTCCAACACTTTCATCACCATGTATATTTGCAACATATCGAACTTCAGGTTCACCTGGTTCATGTATAAGTGGTTGATCACTAATAATTATAACCCATAGATCACGTTTTTCAACACTTTTTCCAATTGTATATAAACTTGTTATATTTGGATATTTATTATTGATTTCTTTTAATTTTTTAATCATTGATTCATAATTATGATATTGAAATTTATCTGATGGTTCAATTAAAAGATTAAGTATTTCATCACGAGATTTAGTCATTAATTTTTGCGAATAATTTGATAATTCCTCATAAATCTTATTTGTTGATAATACATCTTGCTTAGAGAATGCTATATCTTGTGTACCTGGTTGTAAATCAAAATCAAGACGAAGTGCCTACAAGAAAAAAAATTTTAAATTATTCAGTTATTTAGAATAGTCAAGATTATAGATGTTCGAGACCAATATTTAGAAATTTACTCAAATTGGTTAACGGGCAGATGCTTAGGACTTCTGCTGGTTGAAAATCATTTCAGTTATTCAAATCTTTTCTTTGATTTGGTTTTAACTATTACCATTATGGAAAAAAGTCAAAAATATTGAGTTTCTAAACATTTTTTACTTTCACATTTTAAGTCATATGAATTCGAACATAATTCACAAGAGCATTAGTTATCGACTAGATAAATCAAACACTGGTTATCGAAAAAATCTTTTCTAGATGTGATACAAATAAATTCTGAAATAGTTTTATCTAAATGGAAACTATAGCTGAAACAATGGTTTTCAATTAGGAGATAGTGAGTAAGGAAAAGTTCCTCTTACAAAAGATGAAATAAAAATAAGCAGATAATATTATTGCGAGATGAATTGGATTAGAACAAACGCCGGAAGGGATATGTCAGTCTATATCACAATAGGCTACATTCTTCTTCTATCAAAGTACTTTCTGTCGAATTTTCAGCCTTTTCGACTTCTAGAAAACATCCACAATGCTGTCCGAAATCAAAAAAGTTTGATCTTGTAAATCTTCATATACTAATATTTTCCTATTATAAATCATATTAACTTACACTTGTCTTGTCATTTGTTACATTTACATTATATTTTGTCTGTGGTAAATATCCTGAAGCTGTAACTGTAACATTATATAAACCAGGTAATAATAAACGCCAATAAACTCCAGAACGAATACTACGAACTGGATGAAGAATACCTTCTGCTTGAATTAGTGCTCCAGATATTCCTATTCGTGCTTGTGCATCACGAATAAAACCTTTAATACCAAGATGACTCTAAATAAATGATAGATACATGTTTGTTTGTTTTTTTTTTTTTTGTTCTTATAATTTATGAATTATTTACCAATTCCATATAAGCAATTAATGCTTCTTTATTATTATCCCATTCTTTTTCAAGATAACCATCTTTTGATGATGGATATTTACAACAACTTAATTCAATAGTTATTTCAAATGCATTACTATGTAAATAATTAAAATCTTGCATACCACCTGATACATCATACCATTTAGCACCATTTGTTATTCCTTCAGGAAATTCTGAAGCACATCCTTGACCTAATAAAACGAACAAAAAACATAAAATCACATTTATATTGTAGATTTCAAATTACCTTTTGTCATTGTTAAATGTTTATTAGCATAAGTACGTGCTATAAAACGAAATAATGAATCATCAGGTGACATTCCATATGTATTTTCCTTATGAAGACTTGTTTCATCATAAGGATATGAAGCAACAAGTGAACCACCATGTAAATTTGCACTTAAAACAAAATTTTCTTTTAATATCCATTTCATAACAGCAATAGTTTCACGTTGTCGTCCATAAAAAAGATCACCAATTGTACCATTATTAATTGGTTTTAATGTTTGATATTGTGATGGAAAATCTCGATTAAGATCAACACCAAATAAATTTCCTCGAGTTGCTGCACCTATTGTTTCACATGAACTTTCAATCGATTTTTCAAAACCATCCTAAAAATTAGATTAAATTAAAATTTTTTCGTTGTTTGTTTGTTTTTTTTTTTTTGAATTTTTATTATTAAATAATTACCGGATTCATACTGGGCATTATATAAATATCTGTTGTTGATAGAAGACGATTAATACGTGAATCCGATTTTGAATTAAGTAATAAATAATATATTAAAGCAATCATCATTTCTCGTCCAATTGTTTCATCACCATGCATATTTGCAATCCATTTAAATTTTGGCTTTAATACTTGTAATTCATCATGTTCATCATCATCGTTATTAGTATTAATAGGTGAAGTAAGACGCATTACAAATAATTCTTTACCACCATTACTTTGTCCAATACTAAATAATTGTGATATTTTAGTATAATCACTTGTCCATTTATTTAAAAGTTCTTTTAATTCAGCATAATGATGATAATGATTAAGTAATTGATAGACAGCTGTGTCTTTTTCAATTTGTAATGGTGAACGTTCACAACAAATAAATGATAAATATAATAACAATAAGAATAAAAATGAATAATGAGAATGAATATTTATATACATGATGATCTAGAAAAATATATGTATGAAAACAAATATAATAATCAATCAAGTTAATTTCATATTTTCTAATTTAATTTAGTAAACGAAATTCTACACTACAACAAAAAAAAAATAAGGCAAAAAAAAACATACGATATGATATTCATATAATGTAATCGAGAGAAAACAAATCATCTCCGAATGTATTTTTTCTATTTCAAAAAAAAAAATCAATTTTTTTTTCTTTTTTAGATCATAATAATAGAACAACTTTTCTAGATTAATACACAAGAAACAAAGAAACACATACACAAAACAAAATTGACCTAATACACACATATGAAGAAGAATATACAAAAAAAAAGAAAAAAAGAAAGATTTTTCTTGTTTTTCTAAGCAAAACATTTTTATCACAAAAAACAGAGAACACCGGTGGATCCCTGAGACAAGAAAGAAAGAAAAAAAACATAAACCTTAAATTTTTAATTATAAAGTCTTTGTAAACGTGTATGAAGATCTCTATCATCAGTTGTTGGTAATGTCATATTACTCATAGCTGATCGTGGTGAATTTCCTATTGAACGTGAACGTAAATCTTGTGCTGAATAAAGTCTTACAACAGGTTGATCATGATGTTGAATTGTTGTTGGTGTATCAAATGATGATGATGATTGATGATCATCAAAAAGTAAATGTCGTTTAGGTGTTGGTGGTGATTGAATAACACGTGGTGTTGATGAAATTTGTTTTGTTATTATTGGTGGTGGTGGTGATGATGATGATGATAGAAAAGGTTTTCGATTTGCTAATCCATAAACAATTAATGCTAATGATGCACATAATAAAAGACTTGCTAATATACGTCCTATTGGATTATCAATAAAACGTTTTTGTACGTTAATATTAATACGTTGATTTTGTCCAGTTAAAATATTTTTAATATCAATATATATTTGTTGTTGATTATTTGTTTTAGCACCATGACGTAATTCAATATTATATAAAAATGGTTCTGTAGAATTTTTTGTTATACGTACTATTGATGGATCTGATGATATTAATTGTATATATTTATCATTTGTTGGTATTGTTGATATATGAATTGTATTATATGGATGTTCTTCTGAAAGATATATTGATGATAATGATGGTGATAATTTAAATGTTGGTTGATATGGAATAATTAATTCATTTGACATTATTTGATATGATGTTTGAACAAATAAAAGTAATGAATCTTCATATGTACTTATATCATATGATGATTTACGTATTATTTGACATGCCCAACTCATTAGATCAAGATCAAATATAGCTTGAGTTTTAAATAATGTTGAAGCTTTTGGATTATTTGATTTACTTTTAAGAAATTCAAGATGACATTCAAATGTTGGATGAAGTGTACCAATTGATTGAGCATGTTCAAGTCCTTCACGAGAACATAAACCATGAAGATTAGTTGTAGAATCCGTACCGAATATGACAGGATAAGATGATGGTTTACCTAAATTTTGTTTAAATTTATATTGATATTATATTTTGAATAAAATCAAAATGTATTTATATAAATAATTCGATCAACAAAAGTCATAGAGAAAATAGTGCAACAAATAAAAAGTTATTATTTTATATATCAATTATACTGTTCTTTTTCTTATATTATCATTATTGAATTTTCAAAAAACAATAGATTATATTCTTTAATTCGGATATTATTTTTCTTTCTCGAATCTGTATGTTTTATAATTTAAAAAAAAAAAAGAAACAAAATCCAAATCTACCTTCTTCACCATCATATAAAAAATCATTTGTTCCTTTAAGTAATTTTATTTCATTTGGTATTTGTACATTAAATCGTTCACTTGTTATTGTTTGTCCATCAATTTTTAAATGTAAATGACGTTCACCATCTATAATCATTTGTCCAATACCATATTTTGAATCAACATACATACCATCATCACTACTCCATCGATCTTGAGTTTTTTCATCATTATTTAAATTTGATTCAAAACAAACAATATCACCAATATAATAAATTTGTTTTAATGGAGATATTGATGATTTTGGTAAAAGAAAACCACTATTAGCTTGTACAGGCAAATAAGCACGTAAATATTCTACACCACCATCGACTACAAGAATATTCGAACCATTTTTAAGTGGAATTATTTCATATATTTGTGTATTATTTGAATTTGTAGATATCATATCACCACGATAAGAAAATGTACGAAGAGATATTGATGTTGCATCGAATCTATAAAACAAAAATTTTTAACATTTCATCAAATAAATAAAAACATGCAAATATTTATCTTTCGAACTTAAAAACATAATAAATAAAATACCGTAAGTCGTTCTTGAAGGAAACAATTCTATTAAAACGCAAATTCATTCATATCAGGGCTTCGTGTAGGATGGAACAATCTCATTAGCGCTCTCGAATGCAACTCTTTTGAAAAACGCTCTACGGGACGATTTTTTTTTCGTCCCATCCTATCCAAGACGGAGTCCTGATTCATATAACATAGACGCGACCAATATTTTTAGACCGGAAGCAAGACCATAGGTTTTTTTTACGTGGCATCCAGAACGAAAAAACCCATGAATCCAACTCCAGTCTATGCTTAATAGTGCAATGCATGTTTAAAATTACACAGAGTACTTCAAGCAGTGCAGCATAATTGACTTTTTAGAGATTCAATATTCTTTTGGTGAATCCATACGAGATTGTCTCAAAATTAAAAATAACGCAATCATTAACTCATCTAGAACTATTGTTTGTCTTATATGAAATTCGACTCAAGTCGAATTGAATTCTGCTATCCCGAATATATAATCATTAATTCATCTTACCGTCTGCCTAATTCATCATGATAAGAAACAGTTAATGGAAGTTTATAATCTACTGGTATTGAAGAAAATAATGATGAAGTTTCTTGAGGTAAATAACTTTGTAAAAGAATATAATGTATTGGTTTAACTTGAATAAGATAAGCACCAACAATAGATGAACTAAGAATTTTTTTTTCTTGTTTGGTTCCACGATATTTCATATATAGAACAGCTTCACCATCGAAATTTTGATCAGTATAAATTATTTTTGTATTTATATCAAGATGTATATTTTTTGATGATGATAAAAGTTCAATTGTTATATCATTTGGTATATGAAATAAATTTAAACGAGAATTTGGTCCAATTAATATTGTACGTGTTTCATCAAATTGATTTAAATAAAATTGTTCAAGAATATTTAATTCAATTGAACTTGATAATTCATGAGAAGTTTTTAATAATAATTTATTTAAAGTTTTTGAATTTGTTAATAAACGTACATCAATAGTAACACGACCCGTTCTTAATGTTTCAATATTTGTTACAAATGTTCGTATATAAGATGATATATTACCAATTATTGGACGAAATTGTGCAAGATGAGTATTTGATAATGACCATATAAATACAAGAGAATGAAGAAAAACATCTGTTATAACAATTGGATTTTTTTCATGATCATATGAAAGAACAGTTAATGGAACCATTTTATTTGGTAGAATTTCCGTTGTTGGTATATGAAGACGAATAGAACGTATTTGAACAACATGAATTATACATGTATCTTCACCATAAACTATAGACTAAAAATAAAAAATTATAAACTTACAAATACAATAATTCAGAAAATTACTCGAGAAAATTTTATTAATTCTTTTTGAAATAATACTCCTTTCAACTCTTTACGACATTTTTATCTACTGTTCGACAGATAATCGCTGTCTCTATTATTGTAGATGATTGAATCAAAATTCTAGGAACTGAATAATTTAGTTAGTTTTCAGGCTTTTCAAAGATTCTATTTCTTGGTAAATAAGCAATTACTGTCATCTTACAAAATTCTAGTTGAACGTTAAAATCTCTATTTGAATTCTTATTAGTGTTAATGGTAGTAGAAAAAAAAACATAGACAAATAAACTTGAAACAATCATTTTCATATCCACTGTAACTTTCAATGTCTAGGAAATTCTAGCAACCGTTTTTTTTTGCATGGAAATATCAAAGAAAATTATCTTCATAAATTTATACATCATTAAACTATCATGATTCGATGTACAATAGCAAAACATCGATTATCTAAATTGGTATTTTTCAAAAATCTGATTTTATTCGATATAATATACATATCACATTTTCGTTTCTATTCTTCATATATAACTCTCATAAAGCAATTGAACAGGATATTCAATAATCCAGCTCATTTGAAAACAATCTAGTTCCTAGCTGTTTGATTGGACTCTCACGACCTAGTGCTTTACAATACATCGAAGAATGTCCCACAAAATTTCTGCATCGAAATTATACTAGTAAAATAATCAAATATTTTAACTATTATGAGTGAATTCTCCAAACTGATTAATCTCTATTAAGGAAGTTCTATAGAAAGATCAAAAGGAAAAATATCGAAGAAAAAAGGTGAAGATATAGGTAAGAAGACACGCACACACTCAGGATCGACACAAATCAAAACAATTCTAATTCAACATTGTATAAATAATCTTGTTGAACGTTATTATGAATGATCTATCATTTTGTAACGCTAAACGGAAAAAAAATAACACAATAATTTTCTTTTTGACTTATATGTGATCTCTGATAGAATGTTAGTATTTTGCCAACAATAAAAGAAAAAATGTCTCTTGCTCGTCGGAGTCTTCTACAAGTACCCTTTTAACTTGGAACTATGGAAGTTATGAATCTCGAAAAGGGTTTAGGTCTACATCTAATTGCGAAAGTTTCGGTTGTTCCTATTCCTTGGATATAACCAAGGTAAACACACGTCTTTTATATAGATCAACTACATTCACAGATTCGATGTTCTTATTTTCTAAGTTTGCTTGCTGATGTTTCCGAGGAGGAGCAATGACTTTAGTTTGATTCCGAAGGGCTCTAATACAATCTCAAATCATTTCAATACATCAACAGAAAGTACAAAAATAACAATTTTTTCTAAATTTAATATCGAATTTTTAAATAATTTCAAAATTTTCTATGTAACTTTTCATTCTTACTTTTCCTAAAAGTGGATCATATCCAGTTGATTTAGCATGAATAATAGCATGACCAATAGTTTTTGTTTTAAAAATATTATTTATTTCTATATCAACAATATCTGTATTATTTGTTGACCATTCAATTGTTGTTCCTAATATTTGTGAACCTCCAATAATCATTAATTGAATTGTTGATAATGGTAAAATATTTAATTCTTTTGGATAAATACGTAATTTTTCATAAACTTCAAATTCAATAATATTACTTTTAATATTTAATGCATAAAATTTAATATTTGTTCGTCCAATATCTAATGTATGTATTCTATAAGCAAGTGTTTGATAATCTAAATTTGATTTTGATTCATATTCAATAAATAAAATATTTGGTTTTAAAGTTTGTTCAATAATAATATTAATTAAATGATAAATATTTGTTAAATTAAATAGATTACCATCAATATCAATAGCTTGAATATAAATTAATGATGTTGTATTTAATTCTAAACGACTACGACCAAAAATTTTTAATTGATCAATATCTGATATAATTATATCAAGAGTTTTCATTAATAATGGTAAACATTGATCAATAATAATTAAATTTGTACGTCCATAATTTAATGGTTTAATATAAATTAATCGTGAATTATTATTATTTATTAATAAATCAATTAATGGATTTATTGATAATTCATTTATTTGAAATTGAAAATAACCAGAACCACCATATATTTCTAATGGTGATAATGATTCATTAATATAAATTAATTTAATTGAATTAATTATTTGTATATTTTTCATAAATTCAATTTCAAGTTGTTGTTCTAATTTATCAATTATACAATGAAGTAAAATTTTTCCTGATTTATGTTTTGGTATAATTTCTAATTGATGATTATTTATATTAAGATCAGCTAAATATTCTTTTGATTTTATTTTACAATCAATATTTAATGATGAAAAATTTGTAAATGATATTTTTTGTTCATTATATGCAATTATATTTATATATAAAATTTGATCAAAATATGTTATAACATAATCACGATTTATTAATGGACATTGTGATGTAAGTATTGGTTCAAGTATAAATGAATAAATTGTTGATTGACATGATATATCAATTGATATTGTTGATTTAATTGGACAAAGATTTTGTTTTGTTATGATATTTTGTTTTGATATTTCATATTGTTGATATTGTATTGGCGTAAGACATTTAATATGTAAAAAATTTGAATTTAATGAATCTTGTGTAAATTTAATATGATTATCTAATGGATATATATTATATTTTAATGATTCTTGATCATAAAAATTTAATGGACCATTTGATAATTGTAATATATATTCAGATTTTGTTGTTAATAATAAATTATTAAGATTTATATGTAATTTTTCATATGCACTTAAACTAATTGTTTGTTGAAGATTTGAATTTTTAAGTTGAACACGAACATTTGTTATACCAATTTTAATTGGTTTAAATATAAGTAAAGCACATGATTCATTTGTATGTTCATTAGATGGTATTATATTTTGATATTGAAATATATTATTATCAATAAGTATATCAAAATCAAGTTGAGAACAACATGTTAAAGCTTGTTTTTTATAATATAATTGAATTGGTAAATAAAGTAAAGAATTAAGTTCAGTTTCAACTGGACATGGAAATAAATGAAATTCATTTGGTTGAACAACTTGAACAGAAACAGTTGCATTTAATTCAGGAGATTTTTTATCAAAAACATCAACATGTGTTGAATTTAAAGAAGTTTGTTCCATTAGATCACCAGTCGACGAAACAGTGACTAAATAAATAATAATATCAGAATTATATCTTTAGAATGTTATTTTTTTTTCTTTTCAAAATCAATTTATTACTTACCCACACTTATATCTCTTGATGTAAAAATATAATCTCCACTTCCACCTAAAACTTTAATTGGACAATAAGGTGTTTTAATTTCTTTAATTGTAGTTTTTTCTGGTAGAAGTACTCGTTTTGGTTGTACAACTAATGGTAAATAAACTTCAAACCATTGTTTTGTTGAAGCTATAGTTAATAATTCAATAATATCATTATTTTTCATTCCATTAAGATGAAATTCAATTTCAAATCTTCCTTGACAATTTGGTCGAAGAATATATTGTGTACCATTTTGATATAAAGATTTTAAATTTAAACAAGTTTTATGTAATTCATTTGGTATTGTTGCTGATAAATTTAAATTATCAGTTGGATAAATTTTTCTACCATTAACATCAAACATTTCAACAGTTATAAGATAATATGATCCTATTTGAAATATCCATGGTCGTGTTGAATTTGTTATTGCTGATAAATAACCAATATTAACAATACGTATCATTAATGATGTTGGTTCATATGTATCATTATCAATAGCTTTCATATTACGATCAATTAATTCTAAACGTGATTGTTCATCAGCATGATCTGTTGCAGTAAATATAAGTGTTTTATCATCTAAAGTACCAGCATCATTATTAATTAATTTAACTTCATAAAGTATTCGTGTTGATGGTAAATCTGTTATATCAGTTGATTCTTGTCGTTTTATTTGATAAAGACGAAATCCTAAACGTGAATATGGAAGTAAATAAACATCTGTTGATGGATAAAATTGAACATTAGCTGATACAGATAATCGAACTGGTTTTGTTCGTATACCATGATATAGATCATTATCAATAAATTCAGCTTGAACAAATGCTGATCCAGTACGAAGACCTTCAAGAAGAATTTCATAAGATAATGAACCATGTGATTCAAGATTTCGAACTGTGTCACTCATTTCATATGATGAATCTGTTAGACGAAGAATACGTATTACTTTTGTTGCATCCAATGTTCCACTTGTAGATTTTTTCACATCTTCAAAAAAAATAAAAAATTTATGCAATTGACAAATATATAAGCTATTTGTAGACAGAAAATTTCTAAATTGATAATACGAACCAAAAAAATCAGTCTATTTGAATAAATCAAAGTCGAAATATTTCAATTTTTTTTTTATTATAGTACTATTTATAGATCGATAGGAATTCTTTCAATAGAAAATAATGCTTGTTTGAAACATAGATCATTTAACTATCGATTGTTTCATCAAAACTAACTGACAATACAATACTGATAAAAAGAATAAGACGAAGATATTTTAAATAGCCAATGAAGTTTTTCATCAAATAAATTTTATAGATCGACTGTAAATGAGTATCATCTTAAAGAGCACAAAATTCTGAATAAAATGAATGATAAACAGATTTGTTGTGACTCTCTATTAAAACGTTATAAGAATTACAAAATATTAAAGAAATGTATTTTTTTTAGTAATGCTATGATAAATTTCACTTTGTAATGCTTAGAAATTTTTCAAAGAAAAGTCATAGAACATGCAGTAACCTTTTATTTTATTCAGGCTTTTGTATTCTTACATACAAAACTCCTAATTCCTTTATCTAAATTCATGTTTTCTTTTTTTTGAAGTAAGAATAATTTATTGCTTCTTGAAAAGAATCTTACTTTGTTCATCAACAATAGCAGCATTTAATAATTTCCATTCGAACGGAAAATGTTCAATTGATGAAAATGTTGATCCATGTTGATCATGTGCACGTAATTTAAATAATTCTGGTGCATCTTCTAAATATAATCGTGTTGTTGTATAAATAATTTCAATTGTTTGAATTTTATCAATAATAACATCACATCGTACAGATTGTCCAGTTAAAATATCACGAGCATAAACAGTTGCACTTGAACGTAATGATTGTTTCGTATGAGCTATAATATTTGCATATAATGAACAATTTTCACCATTTTTTATTGAATATGGTCCTATGGGATCAATACGAACAAGGTCAGGACGTGATGATGACCATAAAAAACAACCATCCGTTGCTTCTAATGTAAAATTTGTTTCAATACGTGGATGAAATGGTAATAAAATCTTCGGTTGACTCATACGAATTGCAGCTAAACTTAGGTGAAATAATATAAATGAGATTAGATACCGAAACCATTCCATAATTTAATAATCTAAAATATCGTAGAGCAATAATTAATTTTAAGCTATTTGGAAAAAAAAAAGAAACACGAAAGAAAGAACAGCAAAGGTGTAATATTGTATTATCCAATTAAAATGTTCATATTAACACTAGCGACAATTTTAAAACTGTACTATAAAATTTTTAAATTATATTTCTGATCGATCAATTTGGATATTTGAAAAAAAAAGAATTGTTAAATAGAAAAAAAATTGAAAAATTCAATTGAGAATGGTTAGTAAGTAAGGAAGATTTGCACGAATAGGAATATGTTAATCCAGATATTCGAGTTGATTATGATTCTTTTTGGAAATTATATTCCGTCAAAATTTTAATATTT